AAGCTCGATTGCAAGATTCGACGCGTCTACGCGGTCTTTAGACGCATTGTAGAGATATACCTCACCGTAGAGCTGCTACGAGGTCTCGTCACACATTCTAAATTGCACGTGGCACGACGCTTCTTAGAGGCCACGAGGCTCCTTCTCTGGCCTCGTGGCAACTTGTCAACCGCGCATTCTCCCTGCGCCAGAACACTAGCAAGCCCAACTCTCAGCTCCGTCATTGTGGTGAACCAGATGACTGTAGTAAAGATTTCACCGCTTCCAGGCTCCTATTTGTGCTTAAGTGCACAGACGCGGTCAATCCATTTGAAGAAATCTGGGGAAGCGCTTGTTTTGCTTTGCTCAGCTAGTAAGCACCTGCCAGCATGATGTGGAAGCTTCAGCATGACCGTGGTTTTGTGCAAGTGTTGTCCAACTTTGAGTCGTGCTTCTTGATGTTTCTGGCTGATTTGTAGATGAATCGGAGAATCCATGCGCAGCTTGCGGGCTGAGTTTACTGACCGCGTGACTGCGTCGTGTCGTGACCTTGTCGGTAACCACAAAAACGCGTTGCGACTGCGTCGTGACTTGTCGTGACCGCGTCGTAACCGTGACCGCGTCGTGACTGACCCTGTCGTGACTGCGTCGTAGCCGCGTCGAAGTGACTGCGTCGTGACCGTGCCGTTGTGACCACGTCGTGACCGCAAAAAAAGTCGTGTGGCGTCGATTCTGGGCGCCGTCGCAAGAGCGGCAGTGGAGCTTGCTCGACGAATCGTCAAAAAAAGGATCTGGAACAGCTTTGTGAATTCCATCTTTTGTCAACATCCTCTTTTGCTGCTACTTTATGTAGGCCGTTCCACAAGATCAAGGCCACTATCTTTCCAGACATCCTTGGTTCTGGATCAAAGAAGATTCTAGGCACGATGTAGGAAACTCTTTGTGAAGGCTTCGCAGCGCGCATTTGCTGCAACTAGCTGGCCAAATTTGCGTTTTCTGGAAGCGATGCCGCACCTGTAGTAAGCTCCAAGTTCCACAGGTTTTTGTTTTGGTCGTTCCAAGAGGTTTTTGAAGCTAATTTTGGCACCGCGATGCACTGTACCATTATACGGTTTGTCATTTTGGAGCCCGCTTCTCTGCATACTGGTGGCAACGCACCGGTAGCTCAGCATGCTTATTGTCTTTCTCTGTTTTCTGTAGTTTCCTGGATTTCTATGTTTGTTGCAGTTTTTCTGGACTGCAGCTGTTCCGTAGGGTTTGCTACAGGTTTCCGACAGTTTCGCCATGCCCATGGTTCGTGTTGGCTGCAAAGTTCCTTCTACAAATTTGCTATGTGCGTCTCATTTGCTGAAAAGATTCAGCTTCCGCAGTGCTTTCCACGGACTCACTTCTGTGTCCGAAAATTGTCAGTGCATGTGTTTGTGGGGGTGGATGGGCCCACAAATACACACCAAAAAGAAGGACCAGCCTACTAACAGTCGAGCTTGGTCCGACATTGTCAAAGCCAGGGCATCGTAGGTTCTACTCCGCGGCAACACTGTACTCATGTTGTCCATGCAAACCTAGGCGTGCAGTGCAGTGGGACGCATTGTCAATTTGCATTTTTTTTGGAAAAAATGTACAAACAAAGAATAAAAACTGTATACATGTACAAATTTTTGTGTACGTATGTATATATACGCACACACGCACACATACGATATGCAAATACCCAATGCACGAGAAACGCGGGCCACCACAGCGCACCTTTCTGAAAGTTTGACTCCGGCACGGTGAGTGAACCTTTTTGCGAGCTGGATGTGACCACACACGGTTGCACGTCAGCCTGGGCAACAGAAGGGGTGAGTGGATGAACAGCATGTCTCACGTTTCTCCTGTATGTTTTTTTGCGCCGTATTTCTCGTATACATTTCCGACGATGAAGTACGGAATGACGCGCGGTTGCAAATGTCAAGATAACACTTGTTGACCTCTCGAACCCAGTTAGCAATTCTTGTATTGGAATCTTGTTCGCATTTGTATCAGCTTCCGTATGCGCATTCGGATAAAATCAGATTGGCATTCGTATCATAAATACACAGTTGTCGTGCTTACATTCCACATAAACGGCATAAACATAACCAGTGAGCTTTTCGACGGCATGTCAAACCAAATCATTTGGAGCCTCTCGGCCGCGCATCTGGTTGTCGTTGGGCAGCGCAAAGAATTCAAGAGATTTGCTCGCCATCGAACCTTGCAAGCCCCGGAGTTTCGTGTTTGGGTCGTGTGAGTTTGGTTGGCCCATGCACTGTTGGCGAGTACATTTGCCCCAAGCTTTGTCATGCTCGGCATGAAACAGGAGCCGTCATGTGCAGCCGGCAGGTAACCTGATAGTCGAAGCTTTTGTGAAGAAATATGCATCTCCGCTTGAGCTGTTGGCTCATTTTTTTGCGCTGTGCGCAGCCGGGCTTAGCTCCTCTCTGTGGAGAGTGAGTTTCTCAGACCATTGCAAAGCGCCGTTGAGTTCAGCGGCTTGCCCAGATCAGGCCGAGCTTTGTCCAAAGATGTTGGATGATAACAAAAAGATTGGCATTGGCCGGGCTCCAAGACTGACGTGCTGTGGCAGTTGTCTGTGCTCTGTATCTGTTTTCTTTCGCGAGCCGTTTCTGGGGTAGGATCAGAGCCTCATGATCGGAATACCGGGCACCATGCGTCAATTTCTAAGAGTATGAAGACTTTCTGGTCAGTCGGCATTGCCAGCGCACCATGTCGATGACTGATGGAGTGGCAGAAAGCGAGTGGCAGGCTTGAGTCTTGTGTCTGTATTTGCGTTTGCTTGCAGCTCTTCCAAAGATCCTTTCAGGAGGCATCGCCACCAAGCACTCCTCCGCCGCGAAAGAGGCCGATAGCACGGCCATTGAGACACCACATTTTGGCATCGCCACTGTGCCGGAAGGGCAGAGCGCCTTGCTTGTGGGCTGCCGGCCAGGTGCTGAGTGCACGAGTCCCGCTGGTTGCAAAAGGGGTCAGTGTGATAGTAAGCGGACTGAGGCTTACATCAACACCCAGAAAGGCCGGGTGGCATTTGCAGTGCCTATAAGGCGTACCGGGTACGGCGTGAAGTCGTTCGCGAATGGCAGGTGGCATCACTCAATCAGAGGACTTGAAGAGTGTGCAAGACGAGTTGCTAAGCGTTGCGAAGTTTCCTGCCGGAGGCTCCGCACATCCCCGAGATCACCGCATCTTTCAGGACCGCACAGGGGTCCGCCTCCTCGCGCTCCCGGCAGTTTTTTTGCCGTGAGAGAAGGCCGAGACCGGGCGCGGGCGGTGGGAGGCCCCGCTACGCGGCACCCGGAGCTCCACGGATGCAGGGAGCACGTGCGATGAGGGCGTCAGACAGATTCAAACTCCAGCGATGCGCCTGGCATAGCCATGAAAGCTGAGGGCAGCTTCAAGGCGTTTGTCACTTTCATAGATGTCGTGATTGCATGACAACAGCAAGTGCTGATATTCTGCGTCTTTTCGGTCGCCTCGTTCGTGGAGTCGTCGAGTGGCAGTCTGGGTCTCATGTAACGACGCGCCGTGAGATGGAATCTGGTCCTGTCTGATGTAACCATGTCGAATCAATGGTTCTCATATCTTCCCCTACGGTCTTGAATGCCTTGCAGTCTTGAATACGGTTGGTGTTCGGTATACAAGAGTGGAAGCCTGCAATCACAGTTTCGGTTTTTTGTGGAAGAGTTGCTGTAAGCCCAGTCGACATTGTCGTTTCCGAGGCCTTCCTGTTGCCCCCGGAGTTGATGACTTACCCCGCTAGTGCCGGCCTCAGTGCAGCGCTGGCCGAGCTTCACCGACGGGCATACGAAGACCAACGTTTCAACGTCACCAATCAAACTTAATCAATCCGAATTGCTAGAACAGAAGGAGGCCCCCCCAAGACAAACGATCACAACACTGTGCATCGCGACCCCCAATGACGACGGCGACGAGGACGTCGACAACGAATAACGGCAGTAGATAATGCTAGCATGCAGGGAGAAGCCAGACTAGCACCGGAGACACCGTGGGTCGTCGAGTGACCTCTCCGACACTAGCAGCGATTCATGAATCCCAGGGTGAAGGCTTGCAAGCATGAGGGTGACGAAGAATGGCAGACGACGTGCACCACAACTAAGATGATGAGGACGACCAGGATGACGAGGACCAAGTCGGCCAGAGGAAGATGGCCACGACGTTCATCCAACTCTCATCTTCATTTGCCTGATCCTTATCGTCCTTATCATCCTCGTCATCCCCGTCCTTCTTATCCTTCCTTGGCCCTATGTTGTCAGGATCTTCGTCGTCATGATCATTCCGCTCGTCATCGCTGTATTGGTCAATTGTTTGTCTTAGATTTGGTCATTCCTCTCGTTTCGTCATCAACATGCATATCATGGTAACGGCCGTCATAGTCGACCGGTAGTTATGCAGTGCTTGGGAAAAGACCGCCAATTTCAAAGTTGTAGCGGAGCTGGTGCCCCTCGGTGGGACCAGCCGAGCGGGTTCGCTATCATCATCACCATCATGATCATGATCACCATCACCATCACCGTCGCCGTCACCATCACCATCACCATCATCACCGTGGTCTTCGTGGTCGTCGTCAGCGCAAACTTTCGCAGCCACATTGCCAGATGGGGGCCCAAACCCGAAGATTTCAGACGTAGCAGTGCGCAGCGTGCACAACTCCGACAGTAGCGGTGCAGAGCTGGAGTTTTGAATCCTAGAAAGGTGCCGAGCTTGTGGTGGCCGTGGCACAGGAGATTGGCTGTTGAAAGCTGTTACACGTCGCTGACACGACACACGGCTTGCCAGGATGGCTTGAACAGGCGGGCGAGCGATTTCCTGGCGACCTGCGCCTCGCTTCGCCGCTATTCAGGTGGCTCAACAACATCTCCACGCAGGTGAGCCACGAAGGTCGCAGGGTGCCCCAGCACCAGAGCCAGAGACAGAAACGCGGCCGGACCTTTGCTTTTGAGGTGAGCATCAGATGGGGTGGCCGCAGCACATACCCGGGGACCTCCCGAGCTGCTCAGATTCAGAGTGTCAGTCTATGCCAAGCCCTGCTCTCCGCAGTCTGCTGAGGCCTGCGGAACTTCAGGCCTTCCTGGTCAGACCTCGCAGGACAGCTGCAGCTGTTGGGATCTCGGCAGCCCGGGCGGCTAGAGCTGACACGAGGAGAGCGACAAACGAAGCGCGAGCTTCCCCTGATGAGTGAAGAGACCTCCGGAATCCTCAGAGGAGTAGGTGGCGAGATTTCTGGCAAAGAGAATGTCAATCTGAACCTGCCAGAGACTTCCAAAATCTAGAACGGCTGCTCAAATGCTGCAGCTGTGACGAGTTTCTGCGCCTTGGGAGTGCCTGTCCCATTAGAGGACCCTCGTGGCCAATTGGGACCTCCGGCAATGTTTCCAAGGCGTCCGTTTAGCGGCGTAGAGGCCGAGCCCAGGCTCGAGGGGAACGTCACAGCGACCCTGGCGGGACTGTGTCACGAGCTCTTGGGTACTTGGCGACTATACTACAGCCGTGCGTGCCTCAAAAAGGCGCGCTTTTGCAGCTTTTAAGTCCTTGCAGTTGTGAGCCCTCGGCCGAGCTTTTGTTGGAAGCTCAGCTCTGGCCTCGCGCTGCTGAGGCCTCTGCGGCATTGGAGTCCTCTTCGTGATGCTCGGCGTCTTTCTGCTCTTTGATCGTACCCTGTTGGCGCTAGGGTGCGCTTTGCCTGGCTTCCGGGACGCTGAGTAATCTCATCTTTCTTTTTGCCTGCTGGAGTCTGTTCTCTCCCTCCTCCTATCTCTAAGACACAAGGGTTCCCTCGGGCCGGCTCTTGATTTTCCATGCCAGGAATGTCGCCTTTCTGGTTGGTCTTGCCCTTCTCCTGGGCCCCACGAAGGCGAGAGTTTTTCGCGCAGCGCCAGACCAAGTGCCGCCCCCTGTCGCCTCTGTCACAGGCTTTCAAGTTCTTTTTCCGGAAAGAGAAGTGGAAGGGCACGACTGGGTCGCAGACTTGTTTCAGACCGAAGCTCGAGACTCGCCTAAGACTCAACAGACTCCTTAGCTTTTCTGCGCTCGAAGATACTTCGTGGGAATCGCCATCATCGTTGTGGGCTGGCCTTTTGTCGGCTTCATTACAGAAATGTCTGCTTCTGAGTGTGCTATCCAGGCTTGCGCTGGAATTACCAACGATCGCATCGCAATACCCGGGGCATCTGCTCCCGAGGTATGGCATATGGAAGCTTTTCGCGGCCTTCCTGCCCAATGTCCTGGCTTCACTCAAGATGACAGTGCCAGGAAGAAAGCACGGTCTGCATAGAGTCTCCATGTTTTCCACAGCCGCCTGCTCTTTCAGGAGCGGCCACGGTCCTCAATATGTGGCCGCTGTCTTCACTGTGCAAGCCTGGCCCTGAGATGTCAGCTACTGCTGGTGGATTGGCAGCGGGCATATCCCATGCCTTTCTGCATCGTGCCAGTTTGATCTACGATCAACGCCGACTGCCGGTGTGAGGGCAGGTGGCTCGAGTGATTTTTTTGCAGCGCCGGCGTCGGCCGGAGTCGGGGCGCATGCAGTGCGCTGCTAGCACAAACGCCTGCGCGGGCTCGTAGACTTTCTCACAGAGTGGGTTTTGGGCTACACAGTTCTGCTTTCACGCGGCTGCAAAGATGCAGCCGTTCAGCAAGGCGACAGGTCTTGGCTGCCTCTCACCGAGTCACCGAACTCTGAGACTCAGATGCTGCAGGTGTACTAGCAACTCGTCTATTCTCATGCAATCAGAACCAGAAGCACTCGGGCGGATGAGGCACAGACATCTGTCCGAGCGTCAGGAGAGACCTCTTGAAACATCTTGAAACTCTACAGCGAAAAAATTGCGAGTGGAGGCCGAATCGTTGGGCAGGTTGCGCGTTTGGGCACACATTGACATGCTGGAGCGGACGGGTTCGTGCTTGAATGTGCTCAAGGGGCACGAATCAAGCAACAGTCCTTTTCAAAGAGTCCCTTGACCGCTTGTATGCTAATGGGCCGGTTGGGCCAGGGGGCCACAGGAGCAACTCAGAACTCAGCAAGCTCAAAACTTCTACGTGCTGTCCAGAAGTGCTCCTTGCACTTGACCTTTGCTCGTGCGCCTCGAAGATGGGGCGGAAAACGAAAGGCGGCAAGGATGGAGAAGATGGTGACGATGGCAATGCGATGCAGGACATTCGCAGCACGCCGCTCGCCTGAGAATGCCATGTCCAAGGTAGCACTGGCGCACTGGCCCCGGCTCTTTAGCTTCTGAGCTGAGGTTTCAAAGGCTCCAGGCAATGATGGCCATGACCAACCCCACGATGCCTCTTGGGGCAAGTGGTGCTCTGAGTAGTCAGAACTCATCTGCTCCGCCTCTTGGAACTTCTTAGGTTCGGGACAGCAAGCAAGCCGCCTCTGAATCCGATGAACATGGCCATGATGGGTGGAGACTCAGCCTGCCATCATGAGATCACCTTAAGGCGAGTGGATGCATCTTTGTTTGCGCCTCGCGTGTCGTTTTCCAAGGAAGCCCAATGATGGCGCAGATGGCGATGCAGGCTTCGGCAACAAGTCTTGCAGGAGTTCCATATCTGCAACGTGTCGTCTCGTTTTAAAGTACAGGTGCCGACGACGACGGTTGAGGTGACGAAACGACAACGACGACGACAGCGGCTGCCAACTAGGCTTATCAACTCCTTGCTGGGCAGTGGCAGCTTCAAGGCTCCATAACTGTGACAGCGGCTGAAGTTGCAGAGGCCCATCCCCAAAACTGCGACAGTAGCTGATGAACTCAACAGGGAAAAAGCCGTTAAACCGAAGGTGGCAGGACAGTACGAAAAAGCCGAGCCGTAGGCACCGTGCAAAGCGCGAGAAAATGCATGTGCTGCCTAGAAGGTTGTCACAGCCGCAAGGAACTAAAGCCTGAGGCCGAACGTCCCTGAAGATGTAACGCCAAAAGAGATCCTTGTCGCGTTCTCACAACCATGGCGTAGCAATCCGCCATCATGCTCTAGACTTTTCGACAGTCAGCCCAGCGCATTTGCAACGTGGTTGTGGGCAGACAGGTTAAGGATGATCGATGACGGGCGATGGGATTTGGTGTTCATTCACTTCCTATCGTCTCAGGCGAGGCGAGGGTAGCAAGTGAGCTGTGATGACGATGATGATTGTCATGGCAATTATTCGGAGGATGAGGATGGGGATGAAGAAGATGAGGTTGGGTTCAAGTGCTAAGATGAGGAGAATGATGAGCATGATAAGGCGAAGCTGCTTGAGGACTGGCGCCGTCCGAAAAGCTTGTGGGGCATTGTCTAAGTTGTCCTCCCCAGTTTTCCATCGTGTTGCTGGAAGATGTTGGAAGACACTGCCAGGCGCAGGCCAACGGCCCCAAGGCGGCGTCCGCTGCTGTGGCACCAGACGGTGCAGCCCTCGGCATTGCGTGGAAGGAGGGAAGCATGTATGGGAGCAGAAGACAAAACGGCAATGGTCGCAGGAATCAGGAGTTCAAATGGCAAGTGTGACCTTATCATCATGCTTTGCCAAGGCCAAAATGCAGATGCTGCTTGCACGCCTGTTCATGAATTTCTGTATTCTCTGTAGTCTGCGCTGAAGAACGGGCGCTCAGTGCAGCTGATACGACTATGGTCAGCATATGCTGATATTGATACTCGTTTACTCGTCATGACCCGATGAGAGTAAGATTATGATCAGATGGCAAGATCATCAGATACCAAGATGACCTATGATAACCATGCCAAATGAGCACGGTGTCCTTTCAGAAACTAGAAGGAAAAGAAGGAAGCCTGAGTCGATCTCGGGCCCTCTGCGAGCTAAGGTGCTACGGAGGCCAAGAAGCTGGAGATCAAGCCGGGATTGAAGCCCGGCGACTGGACGTGCCCTCGATGTGGGGCAAACGTCTACGCGTCCAGGCAGGATTGTCGGAAAGTAGACCGCCGAAGAAGTGTTTTGGCACTGCTTTCGTCATCCCCATGGTTGCAGGTTCCATTGCTGGAGATGTGGGTTTTCCAAGCGAGGGGAGGCGGAACAAGAGTACATCTCCGAGCATGGCAGGATCCACCCAGACATCCAAGAGCTGTGTGATGCATTCTACGTTGAGACGCGGCACATCGAGAAGTTGAATGAGCTCATGAAGGATCGCCCTGACACGTGGGATGAAGATTTACGAAAGCTTCGAGAAGTGATGGAGAAGGCACGGTCGCCATGCGGAATGCTAGTGACGAAAATGAAAGAGATAGAAGACGGGACGTTTGTGGCAGTGAATCGCGACAAGAGAATGAAACACCTCGTTGATAAGTTCAAACTGGACAAGATAGCTGAGACTAGCATTTCAGACATCCTTGCGCGATGTTCCGAAGAGAAAAAAGGCGAGTATTACTACGACCTGGAGCGGCATTTCGAGTGTTCAGGGAAACCATCAGCCACTGCCATGATGATCATGAAGAAGATGGCAAATGGAGAGCCTCTTGGCCCACCAGGCAAACCTGGTAAGGGCAGCTACCTGGAAAGATTGCAGAATGAGGGCAATCAGCGTGGTGGTGGCAAAGGAGGGGAAGACGATAAAGACCGAGGCCGCGACCGCTCGAGAGATCGCGGCTACGGCGATCGCCGTGACCGCCGCGACGGACGCGATGGTCGCCAAGAGCGTGGTGAGCGGGATCTGCGAGACGGCCGCGAGGGTCGCCCTGGCAGAGAGGACCGACGGGACGACCGACGGGACGATCGAAGGGACGATCGAAGGGACGATCGAAGGGATGATCGAAGGGACGACCGAAGGGACGACCGAAGGGACGACCGCCGGGATGATCGCCGGGAGGACCGTCGGGAGGACCGGGACCGTCGTGGAGAGGAGCGACGTGTTGAGGAGCGGCGACGAGACAGCCGCGAGCGATCGGACCGAAGAGAGCGCAAGGGAGCTGGACGGGGAAAGGGAGCAGATGATGAGCGCGGCCCTGCTTCCCGTGATTTGAAGCCCTTTGTTCCCCAGCCGAAGGGTTTCCTGGCGCACAGAGCGAGACAAATGTTGTCGGTTCCGCACGAAATGTGTCTTGTTGGTTGTAGTCCTTGTAGTCCGTGAATCTAAGGAATGGAAGCACCAGAAAGGGGCGAAGGCTGCCCGGAGGCGGTTGGACTCCATGGGAAGGCCGCTGCCGAAGCCCTCCAATCCGGGGCCGAGCGTGTGCGCCGCGAGCTGCAGGCCGGGAAGTCTCCTCCCTCTCAGGGCTCCCATGGCTCTCTGCCGCTCCCCTGCCCAAGCCGAGGCCAACCTCCAAGCCATGATCAGGAAGGCCATCGCCGAGGGCCGACCTATGGAGGAGTGGACAGCATGAGCAAGTCCTCTCATGCCCCTCCGGTTTCACCCGATCCCAAAGACTCAACAATTTGTTTGCAAAGGAGCGTCTTCTGTCCTGTCCTAACCTGCTTCCATGACATGGGCCAGTGTTTGCTCGAGACGTCCCGGCTTGGTGGCAGTGGCTCCGAAAGAAAGCCATGTTGCAGCCCAGCCACGCCCAGCCACGCAGACACACCCCAGCCCCACCAGGATCCAGCAAGCTACCGGCTAGCCGCCCAGGGCGTAGGCTTCTTCCCTGAGCATCGCATGGCCATCTTTCCCTGATCAAATGCGCCTGGCGAGGGCGGGAGCCCCAGCACGTTGAGAGAGGGCGAAGTCCTCCTTTCTGCATCACGAGGCGCAGCAGAGAGGTGTCGGGAAGCTCTTGGCTGGGATTCCCCGGCTGACCTACCATGCGTTGGAAGCTCGGGTGCAACGTCCGGGCTTCTCGCTGTCCAAGACTGCCCCTTAGGAGCGCCTTCGCCATTTCGCGGAGTGCTTCAACGAGCCCTCCGAGTGCCAGCGCCTCGAGCACCTCGAACACCTACATTAGTCGGAGTCCCGGACTGTACACTCCGCGAATTTTGCACTTTCTTTAAAGCGCCGCTCAGCGCTGTATCATCCCGGCGTCCTCTTTGTCTGAGATCTGGGAAAGTTCGAGACGCTGGGCGCAGACGCTGGCCGAGCGGCCACGGGCCTGGCCTACCTGGAGGAGGGGTTTAAAGGGAGAAAGGGAGGGAGAGGAGGGAGAGGGAGACCAAGGGGGCGGAGTCTGTGGTGGATGTCTTGCGCGTCTTTCTATAGGAGACGTTGCGTGTTCAAGAGGCCGAGTACGCGGCCGAGGATCCGACCCGGATGATCAGAGTCTTGTTGCGCTTGTAGCATGCTGTGCGAACAAGGAGGAGGAGCTGCGAAAGACCACGAAGGCCATGCCCCTGGCCATGAGCCTTCACGAGGCCGAGCTCGCTGTCATTCGGCTCTCCGTGCAAGTGGTCCAGGGCTCCGCAGCGGCTCGACAAAAAACGTTTTTGGTAGGTCGGCAGGCAGCATCACCAGCTCGGCGACCCCGCACAGGCGGTCCGTTCTTCGTGATCAGAGTCCTCTAGAGCCGTGTCGTGCCAGGCGATCCTGTTCTACGAGCGTGCGAAAGGCCTAGTGGAGGCATCGATCAGAATAGTGTGATAGAAGTGGAAATCGAAGCCTGGCCGTTGAGACAGGATGCGATCAGTGTTCGCATGGGCTCGTCGAGCTCTGGGAAGCGCACAAAGGCATCGTGAATCGCTCAGCCCAGTCCATGTCTCGGCCGATTCTGCTCCGTTCTCGAGGCGCTGACCTATGCTCTCTTCACAAAGTCAGAGGCGCCCCCTGCACATGGCGTGGTGCGAGAGCTTCCAATTTGTGTGCCCAGAGGTTTGCAGCAGCCTTGGTGCGGCCTACCATGACGCAGGGCCGAGGGCTTAGGAGTGCTTTGGACCCTGCAAGGGGCTCAGGCTCAGAGATGTGTTTCCTGCGCCTCGCAGGCAGGCCGGGGAGGCGCTCCAAGAGCACCAGCAGGCGCCCTCGTCGCGTCGTGTTGCCGTCCTCCGCCTTTTTCGTTTGGGCTTGTGAGGCCCTGGAGCTCCGGAAGGCGCTCCGACTCGGAATCGCCTCTAGAGTCGCCCGACGACTTATGCGCGCATTTCATGGAGGAGATCGTGGGGAAGGAGCATCCTGGCGTGGCAGAATGCCAGAGCCTCACTGGCTCTATGGTGTCCCGCGGCAACTCCTCGCCAGAAGGTGTGAACAACTTGGGCAACATCTACTTCGCTCGAGGCTCCTACCAAAAAGCGGCCGAGCATTTCGAGCAGGCCTCTGCGCAGCACGTGCTTCGTGGCTCTCAAAGCCTTCGCCTGTTCGAAGGCTCTGGCCATCCTAGCCGCCTCCTGTCCTGACACACCCTTTGCCTTGAGCTGAGTCTGTGACATCTTTTGGAGTCTACTCCCGCGGAGTGAGGTGGCCCTGACCCTCTACAACCTGGGCCTCTGCCGGGCTCACCTGGGACAGCCGCAGCCTGCCGTCCGGGGCCTGGCCCGCCCCCTCAACAAAATCCCTTGGAAAGCGCGTGGCCTTTTTTTTTTGGGGAAGGAGGCGGCCCTGAAGCGCGCCCTGCGCCTCGCGGAGCGGCTCCTCGGCTCCGAGCACCGGCAGGCGATGCGGCAGTCGGAGCGGAGCGGAGAGGGCCACGGACACGGCCCAAAAAAGCCCCGCAGAGCCGAAGAGGTGGAGATGATCCGCCAGACGCTGGAGAAAGGCCACATGGCATGAACACCAAAGCTTTAAAAGCTGAGTCTTGAAGTGTCGGCAGGTCCAGTGACGAAGTGCAAGGCTGCCGAGAATGGACTCACTAGAGCCCTTGCACGTGCCATACCTCGGTTGCTACCAAACGCTACCAAAAGGATGTTGCCTTTGCTTCGCTTGCATTGCTGAGCAGAAGTGGCGGAGATCTGAAAGCCTAGGCGTCTGCAGCACGGCATTAATGGCTCAATCTGAAGATAAAGAATCTTTTGAGGTCTTTTGTGAGCGATGGACGCGACGGTGATCACACCGCGATATGACTTGGATCTTGCAGGGCTCTGGAAGCTGGTCTTGGTCTACGTGACGATCTGCGCAATTGCGCAGGTGGTGGCACTCCCCGTGTCATGGATGCTGTTCCCAAGGGTGCGGGATCCGAAGCAAGTCCGTGGCGAACCGGGGGGTGACCTCTGGGCTGCAGATGCGATTTGCTTGCTCCTCTTCAGCATCGCGCTGCCGCTCAGCCACAAAGTGAGCTAAGTGGGGAAGAAGCGGATTTATAATGAGGGACCCCGAAGTTCTCTGATTCTGGCTTTGGAGCAGGGATGTTTCGTTGCTGTTTCGCCAAGGCTCCCAAGTGCTCTTGGATCCATTCATCTCCTGTCGCAGAGCGTGGATGCACGCTGGAACGGCAGTTGCGTTTCGTCCATCCATGGCTGTGTTTTGCTTTGCACCCGGCTGTTGGTTCACATCCCGTTCCTGTTTTGGAAGGGCATGAATGCAACTCGCAAGCGCATCCTTGTGCATCATGTCATGGTTATCCTGGTCTACGGAACAGGACTGGTAAAAGGCAGTATGCACTTCTGGGGTGCCATCGCAGGACTTTGCGAGTCTTCGAACATCTTCTTAGCAAATGTGGAGCTTGTGAAGTGTTGCTCAGATGTGCAGCGGCTGAAGCAGAGCTTCCTCTACAAATTGAACTCCGCATTCCTCACCTTGGCATACATCTGTTGTCGACTGGTGCTCTTCCCGGCAGTGCTTGCGGCATTGCTCACGGATGCATATACCCACCCCGAGCTCACGGTGCGGGGCAGTGTGATTGAATGGGTCTTGATGCCGATGGCCATCTGCTGCGTCTGGGGCATGTCAGCCTTCGAGTTCCGGAACATTTTCGAAGGAATGTCAAAGGCCGGAAGGGGGGGGGCCAAAACGAATCCCCGAATCCCATGTCAGACTCTTCCTTGACATGTCCTTCCGTTGTGGTGTCGGGAGGCAATGGACTTGAAGGTGAAGAGTGCCTCCAGCTTGCTGCAGCTAGAGATTTGGTTGGCAGTGTTGGGCTTGCTAGTCGGCCATTGCCTCTTCTGACGGCAGGTCGAAACTTCATGTCAGTGATTCCCGTGAGCTGTGGTACCTCGAAGAAGGTATGCAGGCTGCCCCCCCACTTTGAGGCTTGGGCCGAGTGAAGGACGTAGTGTCCAAATCTGCGCTGCTTGTCTCCTCGCGCGGGCAGGTGTAGCCGCGTAGCCCCAATATGAAACGTTCAAGGAACAATGTCGGTGGGTCTTTTTGTCATAGATGTCTCAGCCGACGAGCAGCTCCTACCCGCTTGTGAAATTTTATCTCGCAACCTTCGTTTTGGCACGTGAACTCGTCGTTTCCTAATTCAGTTTCACCACCAGAGTTGGTATGTGGAGGGCACACCGTCGGAACCGGTGAAGTTGACAGGCTTCTTCTTACCGCTGATAGATCCATCACATGTGGAGTGCAGTGTTGTCAGCTTCAGCGTTCTGCAGCCCATCAGGGCATGCTCTCTACTCCACAACATCGAAAAGCTGGTGAGCACATTGTGAGCTTAAAGTCATGCAAAACGAGGGGGCCAGGGCAGACCGCGTTTTTTTCTGCTGTGCCTGCAAGGGTCACATGTTCTCACATGTCTTCGCGTCGTTTTCCTTGTTCTGCAGCCATTTGAGTTTATAGCTTCGCACACATCCCAACACAGAGCTGAGTACACGAGGCGATGTCCGGACCAGGCAGCGTCTTGCATCAACCCAACTAACCCAACGTGACCCTGGCAAGGCTCTCAGTACGTTCTGTCGTGTGACGGTAGTGATGCATGATGGGAAGGATGGGAACGGCAAGGCATCTGCACCAGAAAGGCTCCACCGTGGCCGGAACTTCGGAGCCCCGGTACTATGGCTTCTGGGGCTCATACCACTGCTTGCGAGGATGCTGCATGCAAAGGTGAACCCAGCCCGAAGCTTCCAGTGCTGCTACTGTGCCTTCATTGCGGTAAGTCTCTGTTGGAACCACTTCGAGGGGCACCGGAGCTTCTACCGCTGGTTTTCCTCTTCCAAGATTGAGCCCAGCCAAAAAAGGGGTTTGGGACATGCGGGGGAGCGGATCTATGGCCTGCTGCCGGCCCCCTGGTTGAGCCCCCTGCAGCACGACGCCGCGTGCGCGGCCTTGTGCTTTAGTCTCTTGGGCTCCTGCTTCTGTTGGGCTCCAAGGCTTTGCCTTGGAGTGGCCTTCCTGGCCTGGTTTTTTTACTACTCGCAGATCTTCTGTGCAACCAAAGCCGGTGGTCATGGGAGTACCTTGATCCCAGGCACCCTGCTGATGATGGCTTTGTCACCAGCGATCGAGGATACCTACACGTGGAAGGATTCAGTGGAGGACTGGTGGGCTTTGGACTTCATCAAGCTGCAAGTGGCGGCGACCTACTGCGGCTCGGGCCTCTGCAAAATTGCAGGCTCCCTCTACTTCCGACAGTTCTGGGGGAATGGCACAACGCTGCAGGCCTACACCTTTGATGCCATGTGGTCAAGACCTGGTGGAGAATTCACCTGGCAACTCCAGGCCATAGCTGTCCAGTGCCCTCGGGCTCTGGCCACGCAGTTGCAGAAGACAGCTCCGGAAGCGCAAGCTTTTCTGAGGAATCAGAACCCAAGGGGAGACCCTAAACGGCCCTAAACCCTAAACTCTGAATCCCAAACCCAAAACCGGAGGAAGGTTTGTCTTCTCTTCCGAGGTCCTGGCTGCGACTCTCTCGCTGCTCTTCGAAGTCTGCTTTCCGCTGGCTCTGAAGTCACAGGAGCTTGGTGCCGCTTTTGCCTGTGCCGCACTCGCCTTTCATACAGGCTCCCCAGGGCCCAGGGTCGGGTCAGAAGATCAGGGTCGTATCACACTTTTCGGTGTGTACAGCGGTGTATATATTTGTGTTTTGTTTGGAGATGACGTATCTGCCCTTGTTGTCTCTGCCCAGCGAGGCGTCTACTTTCTCCAGGGCTTCGACTTCCTGTCTCAGTGGTGTCCGGTCATCCTGCTCTTTGCCTTGCCAGGGGCCTCCTGGCAAATGACCTGGGCGTCTCTGCAGGAAGGGGCCGCAAGCCTCGGCCTGGACTTGGGCCTCAGCCTCGCTTTCCTGCCACCTGGCAGCACCGTCTCTATTTCTGTGTCTCTCTCCGTTTCTTTCTTTTTCCGAAAGCCTTGCAACAGGCTTTTCTTGTGGAGGCGGTTTCCGCAAGATAAGATAGATTGATGGTTGATGGATGGCATGATATGAGGTTTTTTTTGAGGTCTTCAAAGTCGTGTGATCTGTTCAATCATGGGGCAGGGCTGGCAGGAGTCGCCGCGCCTCCCAACGTGGTGCTGCACGCTTGGTGCCGCGACGATTCGTGAGAACAGTCTCGGAGCGGGTTCGGATCTGGGTTCTTCCGGTGAAGAGAGCGACGAGGTGTTGGTCGAGGTCGAAGAGTCGTCGAAGGGGCACTTCAGTTCAGGTCACACCCCCGAAGTCACTGCGCCAAGCGCCCAAGAGTAGGTCCAATATGTGCAATCGTCAAGAAAGAAGATCGCAACTAGGCCCGACACCCGGACACAACAACCACACCCGAGGAGGCAGTTCCAAAGCCAGGCGCTTCAGCCAAAAAACAACCACCAGAGCCACCCAACCATCACTACGAGATATGTCCCAATGTTCGGCTAAGACTGAGAGCTTGCTGAAGTTGCTTTGGACCAGACCTAGCCTAGCCTTTCGTTGCGCAGCGCAGACTAAGAACTCACAAGCGGATGAGTTGCTGTCTTTGCGACCAGGAGGTTGCGGAGGGGTCGTCGAAAGCGAGCCGGGATGTCTGCGTGGTGCCAGGTCGACTTCTGGCCTATGGTTGCAGATTAAGGGGTCGAAATGCCATCCGAACGCACGAGGTGATCGCCGAAGGCACTTTTGTCGAGGCCCTTCCTTTGCAGGAGGCATTGTCGAAAGTTGGTGGTCTCACGGTGCTGTCGGCTGTTCAGGAGGCACTCATGAAGGTGATGGAGGCAGGATGCTCAAGGAGAATGGTGAGGATTTTAGGATGCACAAATGGTCAATCGCTTCAATTTCAGTTTTTGTGAACAGCATAAGAACGTTCAGATCCACCAACACCAAGGAGCAACTAGCACATCTTGGTGAAGGCACGCTTCAAAACCTGGTCGTGCCTCTTACAGGCATTTTTTTTGCTGAAAGGGTCGCAAAAGTGGGAGCTGGAGAGGCCCATCTGAGCGAAAGCATTGTGGTCATGTCTATGAATCCGCCAGCACATGGGGGAAGCATGTCGGGCACTGTCTTCAGTGCCGCCAATACTTGGCGTGGCTTGTGGAAAGGTCTATAGGAGACGTTTACAGGAAGGTTCGCAGAACATCTTATGGGAGGGTTTATTGGAGTGTTTGTAGAAGGCTTTATGCAGGTTGATAGATTACACAGCAAAAGGATGAATGGATGGATGGATGCATGATCCATGGATGCATGGATGCATGGATGCACGGATACACGGATGCACGGAGGCAGCAGATGGATGGATGGATGGATGCATGCATGGAGGTGCTCACTATGTCGCTGTTCCAAATATGTTCGGGGACATTCGTTCTCTAGTTGACAGTGCTTTTGATTCCTCTTTCTCCCTCCGGCTCCCTCTCCTCTCTCAACAGAAGCTCTTTGAGGTACACGGCTTGCAGCATGTTCGTGTCCCTGACCATGGTGGACGTCTGGTATGGGGAAGTGCCGCCGTGGTCATGTTGTCCCATGTTCCTGATACCTCGGAATGTTTTTGCTCCGAAGATGCCCCGCTGGTGGTCCATGACCGGCGTCCCCGAGCAAAGGGAGGCTGGTTTCATGGACCCTTTAATCTACTCTCCTGCCAACGCGAAGCACTACCTTCCCGAAGAGGACCTCCCCAAGTTCCCCTACAAGATCCTGCAGTTTGGCTACTTATCCCAGGTGCCCAAGGAGCTACAAAAGTTTGTGCGGCCAGAATGCCTGCAGCACGAGGGCCCCATGCTGCTCTTCGCCAATTTCCCCGTCCCCAAGGAGCTCAAAGACGCTCTGGAGAAAATGGTCCATCTGAGCCTCCGAAGTTCCCCCAAGGATGCCTGGGACTCGAAGAAGCTCCGGGAGATGGTGGACTTGCAACGGCTCTGCCGGCTCCATTTCGAGCGGGCAGAGCACCGCCTTTCGAAGAAGACCGACTGACGGAGCCTCCGTCCCTCTGCCAAAAGAACAAGTGCAAAGCCTCAGCTTCCCCGTGCGGGTTGTGCCTATTATTAGTCTGGGACAAAGAGCTGCTTGTGGTTGTCGCCGAGAGAGGAGTACCTGCGGTCTCGAAGCTGAAGGGCTCTGTACTTCCGCGTTACATTTATTGTTTCATCGTTGCTGTTGGTCAGACATTGCTCCCGACGTGTGTGGAGACTGTTGTTTGTCCACACATTGCCAAGTTCAAACTTAGCAGGTAGCAATCGCAGTTGAATTGACAATGAGGTGTACTACAAGGTGTACACACTGATCAGGTGAATCGGGAAATGCAAACGGCACATGTTCTTGACTGTTCTGAACTTGTTGCATTTCATGTCGTCAGATCATCCTACCATGGAGTACATGCCTCAGAATCGGTTTCATGTCACTCTTCCGAGTGGTAGTATTGCAATTCTCTCGACACTTCCAATGCCTGTTTGTGCAGTCGGGCTTTGTTCTTGGGCTTCTCTAAGCTGCAGATAAAGAGGTAAACATATAAGGGGCCGCAGAGGAAGGAAGGGCTGAATGAGTGAACGCCATGGCTATGGATAAGAGGCTGTTCGTCGGGCTCGATGCCGGCACTTTCCAACCCAAGGCGCCACCCTGTGACCCGGGGCAGTTGCTATGGGGAGGAAAAGCTTCCAAGAAGCCCCGGAGTCCCACGATGCTGCGATGATCTGCGATGGAGGGATGAAGGTCAGGAATCCTTTCAATTTGTCCAGACTGAACTTAGCTGATTTCTGGAGCGCGAGGCGCGCTTGCTCGCACAAGGGGGCCTCTCCGTATGAGAGTGCCGTCTCCGCACGGTAGTTGCTTGTGGCTGCGAACCACAGACTTTCGCGTCATGCAGCTTGTCTGTCAGTGTCCATGTCATGCCACATGCATGCATACCCCCTGATCTCCTTGGAAACAGGCTGCAGGGACGTGCCAAAATGCAGATTGCACTTTCCCACGTCCCCCCACCCTCAAAGCATGGGGGGAGGGATTGAAAGTGAAACTCCAACTCCAGTGACAGCGCGCCGGGCCTTTTGCAGGCCTCGGCGCTGTCGGAGCTGCGCTTCGCGAAGGAGGGCTTGGACTTCCGCCGCCGGGACCTCGAGGAGGCCCGGAAGCGGCTGCGCGCCACCCAGCGGCGCCTCGCCGCGGCCTGCGAGGCCGCGAGGCAGAGGCTCCACATCGCTCTCGTTCTTTCTTCGGGAAGCCAGGCCTTTCGGGCCGAGCGTGCTGGGCTTCAGGCAGAGCTCCGGGCCCTCGGTCGGGGCCCCCTGCGGCAAACGCAGCAGTGTCTTCGCGAATCGCCGAATCTCAGAGGCCAAAGCGGAGAGCAGCTGGGTCAAAGCTTGGCTTCTCAACAGGCAGACCTTCATCGTTGGTGCGATTCTGCGCTGCTGTGTTTGTGACTGCGAGGTGCTGCTGCAGCAGCAGGCCAGCGTTCGAGAGCGAAAGATGAGCCTGCTGCTGCTGCTGCTGCTGCTAGCCGCTAGCCGACCGGAGGCTGAGTCGTTGGACCACGAGCGGCTGACTGCAAGGGCCTTCGAAACATCCTGAGAGACTCAGAGTGGCATCGCTTGGGGAACAGCTGAGGTCGACGTCCTGAAGGATGAGGTGCGGCGGATGCGGGAGGAACAGCAGAAGTCGCCAGATGCTTAGAAGAGCCCTCGGTACTCAGTCACATCAGGCCTCATACGCTGCACCAAGGACAGTTCGGGAGGGGCCTCCGGACGCTCGCCCGGTGAGAGCCGCCGAGAGCTTCTGACAGGTTCCCGAGGGGCCCGGTTTTCGAGAGCACAGAGAGACAAAAGGGCGTGAGGCTGTGAGCCAGCCGTGCTCTGCGGCTCCAAGATCCCCGTAGTGCTGCGAGCCACGCTTTGGCATTCCCTCCCCCAAAGAAGGGGCGGTGACTGTTCGAGCAGGAAAAGAGCCTGTGCCAGAGTGCAGGTAGGGGTCTTGTCATCCGCTTTTGGTCTTGTCTGTGCTGTCGAGCCGACTCGGATCGGAGACGTGCTGCCCGAGCTCCGAGATGCCCAAGAAGCTCG